CGCGGGGGGCAGAGCAGCTGGGGTGCTGCTGGGTTGCTCCAGTAGCGCCCAGAGCGGCGCTGCGGGACCAACTGGCAGCGCCCCAGCTGCTCTACCACAGGCGTCCGAGAAAAGGCCGCGTGGGGGGGGGGGGCGTACTAGCTGCGCCCCCCCCCCAGGAGACCAGGGAGACGCGGGTGGGGGACCGAGACGCACCGCGGTCCCGCCGCCCGGGTCCTCCACAGCTTTGCTCCGCGTCTCCCTGGTCTGCTGGGGGGTCCCCCCCAGCAGACCAGGAAGACGCAGAGCAGCTTTTCTCGCTGCGGAGGACGCGGGCGGTGGGACCGCCGCGGCGCGTCTCGACGGTCTGCTGGGGGAGGGGGGAGCGCAGCTAGTGCGGGGTTCCCTCACCCCGTTCGTAAGTAGGGATCCGACATAAGTCGGATCCACGTAACCCGGGGACTGCCTGTACACACATTATTATTATGCATAAAGTGCACAGGAAAATATGAATGTGCAGAATGTGTCAGCAATGTCTGACCTGTTAATACTGCCTCTTTAATTCTGGTGCAATTGCGGCAAAAGATCTGGACTGAAGAATACTCTTTAGCAAGTATTAGCAACTATTGTACAAGCAGCCCCGGACTTGCAACGCAATTGGTTCCTGGGGAAGCGTCGCAAGTCGGGGTGTTGTAACTCGAACCCTCATTTACAATAGGCACAGTGCGCTTTTGTAAATGCGGGCCAAGGACATAAGTCTGGGGTTTTTGGCCCCTTCTACACTTACAAAATTATTGTAAATGTGGGGAGGGAGGGGGTCAGAACTCATACGGTCGCATGTCAGGGGTTTCCTGTACTTGTTTTTTTACATGTTTGTGTGTAGGTGTTTTTCAAATTCTTAATAACCATCATGTCGCCCCTCCTTTGATTTGCCTGATATACCATGGGCTAAAATTACCATCACGAATATGAAATATGCAAATAAATTAATTACCATAATGAATATGAAAATATTTCAGTGTCAGTCTACCAACGGTTTTTGAATAAGTTTGCCGGTCTGTGGTATAAAGAAGGTTAGGAACCACTGTTCTAAGGAATTGCAGGACTTAGTGGATGGATGTGCCAAACTCTGATGGGGTGATAAACAGCATGCACATCAATATTTTGGCACCAGCCCACTTGCCAGAGAACTGAAAAAGGCTACTTTTCTAAGGTTATGCAAACATTGGTGGTGAAGCTTCACCTCTGTCAGTATGGGCTGGTCAGAGAAGGTGCATGAGGCTCATATATGAGAACATTAACTGTTCAGAAAGCTACAAATAGGGACAGTCTTTTTTTCTCAACTGGTGGATTACCACTGGCAACATTGAAATGCCAATTGTGATTCTAGTGGACTTAGCCTACCCCTTACTCTCCAATCTTGTGAAACTGAATGCCAGTCTCCTCAACAGTAGGAAAAACATATTCAACTATCTGTTCAGAGGTGAAGAATGACTTAATGGCTGTGTCTAGACTGGCCAGTTTTTCCAGAAAATCAGCTGCTTTTCCAGAAAAACTTGCCAGCTGTCTACACTGGCCGCTTGAATTTCCGCAAAAGCACTGACTTCCTACTGTAAGAAATCAGTGCTTCTTGCGGAAATACTATTCTGCTCCCGTTCACACAAAAGTCCCTTTTGCCCTGGGCTTCCTGGAATCAGCTGCTGATCAGTTTCAGCAGCGGCTGACGCAGCAAATCTTTTGCGCAAAAGGGCCAGTTGTAAACTACTAAAATATAAAGGGAAAGGTTAAAAAAAAGAGTTGACATTGTAAGGAATCTGGTTCCGTGCTTGTTTCGTTTAGATTAAGACAGTTATAAGCAGCATTGTACTTCTGCACAGTCAAGTTTCAAAGCTGTATTAAGTCAATTTACAATTTTGTAGAGATCCACACATGAAAAAGGTCGAATCCCACTCATCTAGCTCTTCTCCACCACGCCCAGTCAGCAAGCTGCTGCCGCTGCCTCTTCTACCGGACCCTCCAAGTGGAACCCAAGAAGCTGCCTTTCTGCGGAGATGCCCTGGGGCCAGCCACGGGCCGGAGACCGAGCTCTGGGGAGCTGCCCCGAAGGAGCCCCACGTGTGTCCGGGCAGAGCGACAAAGGGCACGTGCGGCGCTTCCAGGTTCCTGCCCTGGGGTCTCGTGCGGTCAGGAGCCAGTGCAGGGCCCGGGGCCACG